AGTCCTCCAGAGCGATGCTCTGGATGTTGACTAGGTCTTTCTATTGGCTTATTTGTGCCCCTTCTGCTCCAGCTTGCTGTGTGGCATGCAGGGAGCAACCAGAAGCATGGCAGGGCTAGCAACTGGGCCTGAGCTTGCAATGCATGCAGAGCCTGTCCTGGCCCCACACAGGCATCTAGGACCAGCTGGATTACCTTTAGAGTTGGGCATGGGGGGCAGTCATGTCTCTGCTCCAGAAGCCTGGCCACTGAGGCCTGGGCCCTGGCTAGCAGCCCCAGAACCTCTGTGGGAGCCACCCAGGCCACAGCTGCAGGCACAGTTGATCTTCAGGAGGCACCAGAGTCCACTTCAGGCAGCATGAGTGATTGTGGTGAGACAAGACAGGGGGGATCCAGCCACAGGAGTGTGCTTGCACCAGGGACCCAGCTGGTGGCCAGTGGAAGTTACTGACCACCTGGCCATTTGGGGCCAGGAGGCTACACTGTAGCAGCTTGCCCAGGGACACTGGGACACACATATTTACCAGGTGATTGCTACACAGATGGCCCAGCAGAGGCATGCCAAAATATGGCAACAGTGCAGGAGCAAGGCCAAGGCGTTGTGCAGGCAACTTTGTTGTGTGCAATGCCAGCCAGTGCTTGGTGGCAGGGTGATCCACCATGCCTCACTGTGAGGAGCTGGCCAGAATCATTGGCCCTACAGCCATGGACTCCCCACTCCAGCCCCCTCGCTACTTCATTACCAGGGGAAGAGTGGAGCCTGCATCAGCCAGACCTATGACCCAGCTGGAGTCCCCAGAGGCAGGGACCTTCTTCAGGTCTACAACAGCACTGTTGTCCAGCCATACTGGGAGTGACGGTGAGGAGGGACTTGCGCCACAGCTAAGACCTGTTGCTACAGCCAGACCTGAGGCAACGCTGGAGCAACAGGTCCCCCAGCTCGTGTGTGACACCAGTGGGAGTGCGGAGGAGCCCAAGGAGTGGGTCAGGGCCTTGCTGCTGGGCCTTGCCCCCATTTGAGGTCAGGTCCAACTCTGCCTCCCCTCCCTTCCCACCCCCAACCCAGGGCCCAGGAATTGCAGGCAAGGGAGCCACCTGTCACTGCAGCCTGGTAGGTCCTGCACAGAGCATGGAGAACTGGGAACCATTTACACATTTGTAGCACTACTATTTGTGGTGCAACAAGCACAAGTCCCTGCATGTGTGGGTGCAGCCATAATGTCAAACTTCTGAAAACCACCAGTTGTAATAGTGTATATCTGAAGTAGGACAGATTCTTTATTCTTACTTGGTGCCCTGAATAAATAGTATAGCATAGCATGTCTTTATTTAAGAGTGAAAAAAGAATGAGGTACACTATGACATATATCATAGCTGACGTGAATTGTCTTGGAAGAAGCCAAAAAAATTACAAAATATACTAACAATGGTATTTAAAATAGTTCTTAAATGCTTGGGGGGGAAAAAAAACTTGTTTCAGTAGAGCAAGCTACAGGTAATATTTCATGTCCTGTATCAGGGGAAAAAGTAACTCAATCTCAAATGAGATTTGGGAAATACTCACCAGTTGATAAGAGAAAGAAGTAACTAAGTTGTTAGGCTTCCTGCTTTGATGTTTATAGCAAGCACATGCATATGCAGAGTCTTAATGTTTTAGACAATCCAGAAGGTTCTGCGTTAAGCATTTTCATTCTTACAATTTTCACAATTTTATTAAAAAGAGAGAACATCAAGAAACTATGCAACATTGGTACACTTTCCTGCCTCTTGGTACTGCATGAGGCTTTTTTCCTGTAATTCCTATTAGCTAACTGCCTCAGATCGTCTTGTTCAATCTCAGTTACTCCCGTGAAGTTGTATTAGTATAGCTGAGTAAAGAAGGTCCAGTGTAAATCAGATGGCTACAACTTCACATGGCTGTTAACAAATGTACACTACAACAAGTTTTAATAGCTGAGGATCATTTGTTTCTTTGAGTCGAATTCAAATGTAAGGTGTAACTGAATTTCATGAAAGACCATGACAGATTGAGGTATGACCCGAAAGAAGTCTTTAGTAAGGGTTGCTAAGTTTTTGCTGCTACAGGCTTAAGCTTACATCCCAGTCCTCTGCCGTGGGATACAAGTCTCTGCCCTTCAGAGTGCCCACATTGCCTGCACTTACCATTGCTGCAGATATTCTTGCTGCCCAGGGGCTGCGTAAGCACAGGCATGGGATAGCAAGGTGGGGGTCGGCTATTGAGAGGGATGCTGCAGAGGTGATAGGCAGCTCAGAGCAGCTGTCTTGCCTGATTCCCTGTTTCACACTAGGTCAGGTTAGACCTTCTCAGACCAGATCTAACTTTTTTGCAGGCCCATAAGCTGTAGGTTCCTGACTCCTGGTATAAGTAGTTACATAACCTACTCTGTTTTTGTACAAAAACAGAAGTGTAACCTAGATGTCGAAAGAGCAAACCACTGATTTGTTTGATAGGAAGAATGGCTAGCAGAATTGCTGAACCTGACGCACTGAGGCTATGTATTAATTTTGGTTTTAATGTTTTCATATTCTAATATTACAATTTGTTCTTCAGATATTTCAGTGAAGGAACTGTTCTGGCACATTATGCAGATGTCCTTGGTGTCTTATTGAGGCTGAGACAGCTGTGTTGTCATCCTCACCTTTGCACAAACGCATCTTCTTTCAATGATACAGGTGGTGAGTAAATATGCTTGGCTTATAGTTCTAAAAACAGCAGTATTTTGGTTCCATACCCAAGAACGTAAATGTTAAGACTCAGATTTCCCTGTGGTTCATTTTATCTAATATAGTATGTGTGAAAGAATAGTTTAATTGGCTTTAAACTGTTGGGGAAAGGGGTATCGGGGTGCAGATTGAGGCCCCCATGGTGAGGGAGGGAGTGG